AAGAATTCTCAGTTAACAGTTGTGTTTTATAATTCGGGGTGTTTTTTTGTTTTTTCCTTTGATATGCCAACCCACTGCTTTTTGTATTCCATTATTTCTGCTGAGAAGTTTCTGTTAATCTTGCTGGAGTATTGTAAGTGTTGTGCTGCTTTCAAGATTTTCTCCTCATGGTTTGTCTTTCTTCATTTTTACTGTGGTAAATTTCTAAGTATAAAACTCTGCTGTGTACTTCTTTGCATTTATCCTAAAGTAGAGAAAATTATATGTAGATTAAATATTTTTCCCCCTGTCAGTTTGGGCAGTTTTCAACCATTATTTTGAGAAATTTTTTTCTCTTCCTTTCTCTCCAAACCCTCCTTATATGTGTAATTTTGAGTTTATTGGTGTCCCACATTTCTATGACATAGACTAAGTTCATTTTTTTAATTATTCCCTTTTCTTTAAATTGAATAATCTCTATCCATCTGTCTTTAAGTTTGCTAATGATTTCTGCTGCCAGTTCAGATCTATCATTGGGCCCCTCTAGTGAAAACAAGTTTTTTTTTTCATTTCAGTTATACTCTAAAACTCTAGAATTTCCTTCTGAATCTTTTTTATAATTTATCTCTTCATTGATATTTTCCAGTCAACACCACATTGTTATACCTTTTATGTTCCCTCATACAGTTTATCAAACATAATTATAATGACTCTTTTAAGTCTTTGTTTTAATCAGTATTCGGTCAGTCTAACATCCAGTTTCTTATATGCCTATATATATTCTTCGTACATGGGTCATAGATAATAATTGCCTGTTTCTTTGTACATTTCACTATTTTATTGGAAATTGGACATTTTAGATAGTATTGTAAGTCTGGGTATCGTTCTCCCTTGATTTGTTTTGTGCCTATCTAAATTATTTGAGTGAAGTCTCTTGTATCCCACTTGCCTCTTTTACACCACCATCATTAAACCTTTTACGTTGCTTCTGGGTGAGTAGGGGAACATAACTGAGAGAGAGAGAGAGAGAGAGAGAGAGAGAGAGAGACCACCATCATTAAACCTTTTACGTTGCTTCTGGGTAAGTAGGGGAAACATAGCCTAGAGAGGCGGGGGGGGGGGGGGGGGGGGGGGGGGGGGGTGGAGAAGGGGAAGAGAAAGAAAGAAACTAGGTTTATTCTGCAAAGTAGAAAGCTTACAATTTAGCTTATAGCTCTCATAAATATATAGGTCTATGAGTTCTTTTCCTTACTACTTCCACCATTTTTTAGTTCCCTTATGCTTGAACTTTCCAAATATTTCTTTGGGAAAGTATAGCTGCCTATTTGAGGGATTGCCGTTCTTCCTTGGAAAAAAATCTAGAGCCAAAGATCTAAAGCTGGGAGTGAGGGCATTGTTTCACTTGATATGAGTAACAAACTTGCTTTTAGGAGCTGAGGGCTGGGTTGAGGATGGTTGCAATAACCTCAAGTCTTCCCAGCTTGCTTCTCCCAACATGAAACCCAGTACCTTATAAGGCAAGGGAAAGGCTGTTGAGACCCTTAATTCTCAGCAGCACCACATCCAAGAATGGAACCTTTGGCTGACCAAGGGGTGCTGAAGAAAAGATCCCTACTCTTCAGCCTCTCTTGCCCAGAACTTAGCCTCAGCAACAAGTAATTGGGAACAGGATCAGAAATGGCATTCACCTGAGTACTGTGGGGAGAGGGAACTCTCCTGTATTTTTGGATTCACCAGTCTAGAGTTTCTGCTTCAAGCATGGGAAGAGTGAGAGAAGGGAGTAGGGATCTGTTGTTCTCTCTGAATTTTAGCAGACTTCCTTTTTTAAAAAAATATTTTTTAGTTGTCAATGGACCTTTATTTATTTATTTATTTTTAATGTGTGGTGCTGAGAATCGAACTCAGTGCCTCACACATGCTAGGCAAGTGCTTTGCCACTGAGCCATAACCCCAGCTCCTTAGCAGATTTTCTTGATAGGTTGTTTCTTGTTTGACATATATATTCTCTAAGAACACTTCTAGGGACATTAAATGGTTGGTTTTTCAAATTTTCTCCAATTTTGCTAGGAAGTGAATTTGCAGAGCTTTTTACATTACTGTAGCCAGTACTTTAGTAAATCTAAGATTTTATATATTTAAAAAATTTTTTTTTTAGTTGGACACAAAACCTTTATTTTACTTTTATGTGGTAATGAGGATCAAACCCAGTGCTACGTGCATGCACTAGGCAAGCGCTATACTGCTGAGCCACAACCCCAACCCCTAAGATTTTATATTTTTTGGGAAAGAAAAGTTTTAACTAATATAATTATGTGTAGACACTATAGCCAGAGTTTTTAAAAATTATTTACCTCCATTGATCCTTAATCCATGTATAAAAGTTATACTACTCAATGAGAGTTCTTTTAGGTAGAAGCAGAAAGAGGATTAGAGTGGAATACATTCATTTTTTTTCTGTTTAAATTGGTAAGTAATTTTTCTATTGAGCCACTTGTATTTGTCTTTTCACTAAAAATGTGAAGTATATTAATTTTAGAATCTAGGTCAAAAACACTAATCTAAATATTTTTGTGGCCAATAGATTTTGACATCAATGGAGAAAAATATACACTGTTGAATAGTTTGAGTCATTTAAGGAAATACAAATTTAACTTTGACCATTTCACATTTTTTTATGTTCTACAGGTTTAGAATTATCAAAATTACATTTTAATATGGTAATTTCAATTTATAGCAAGAAATTAGTCACATTTTAAAAAGAATGAAGAGAAGTTAGGAAAATGTAAATTCAATTATGATTAAAATAGAACATATGAACAAAATTTTAAAAAAATTTAAGGTCTGACAATTATTGGAAAACTTAAACAATACAATAGCTGTTTTTTATTATGTGAAAGATGATGTTGATCCATCTTACAGCATGTTAGGTAAGAAAAATTTTATAATCTTAGGAAATATTTTCAGTAGCAAATTTTTATTTAGTGTTATAATTAAGAAAGCTTTCAAGTGTCTTCAACCTTAGTAACACTTGAGGGTATTTGCATAATGTTGTTTTAAGTGGTAGCTATATGAAGGCAGATGATCATGTATGATATGTTTCAGTTATCTATGTAATTGTTCTATAGATGGAGAATATTTAATTTATTAAAATCTGAAGAATTGTCTATAACAGTTCTAGATTATCTAGAAACATTAAAGATTGCTCCTAAGTCTTAACAGTTTTCTTTTATGCAGATATCATATGTTCCCTAACACTTTGGAGTTAATTCATTCTTCAAACTATACAATAAAACTTACTTAGAACCTCTAAGGTTCATTTCACCCTCTGAAAAGGGAACATGACAATCACTGAGATGCTTTATAATCTTTGGCTTCTGAAGAAGAGTTGACAGTTGGTCATAACTTTGTTTAGCTCATTGTTTATAAAATTGATTTCTAAACTACTAGGCTGTATGATCTTTGCAGACAAATTATCTAAATCATAAATACATCCATTTTTGTTCGTGTCTAAATCAAGCTGAGTTATGTGTTGAAACTTCTTAAATAATCTCCTTTTGAAAAAGTTGATGCTGGGAAAAAACTAGCTTGTTTTCCTTTTGGATTGGAAAATGGAGTTTATTTTTTTAATTATTATTTTTATTAGTTATTGATGGGCTTTTATTCAATAACTAATTTGTTTATATGTGGTGCTGAGAATTGAACTTAGTGCCTCACACATGCTAGGCAAGCACACTGCCACTAAGCCACAATCCCAGCCCCGGAGTTTATGTTTTTTAGTTGTTTTTTTTTTTTTTAAATTTTTTTTGTAAATCTGAAAATTCTAATTGTGTTTATGGTTTGTGTTTGCAAATATGTTTTATTTTTTGTTAAATATTGGTTAGTTTTTTGCCAAAATAGTTTGTAGATACAGATTCATTTTCATTTATTGACAGATTTTTCATTTTGTAATGTCTTGGGTAGAAGCCAAGTCTTTGCCATGTTCCCCTTCAACCAAAGTAATTTTCCTTTTATATATTTCATGCAAAAGAGATTATTTGAATATTTTACTAAAGAGTAAGGAGTAATTCTTTTGGGGGGGGGGATTGAACTCAGGGGCACTTGACCACTGAGCCACATCCTCAGTCCTATTTTGTATTTTATTTAGAGACAGGGTCTCACTGAGTTGCTTAGCACCTCGCTTTTGCTGAGGCTAGCTTTGAACTCAGAATCCTCCTGCCTCAGCCTTTTGAGCCATTGGGATTACAGGTATGCACCACCATGCCTGACAAGGAGGAATTCTTTACTGTAACCAAAAAGATCTCTTACTGTTTGAAATTACCAAACAAAGTATCATAGTACAAAAGATGTGATTAGTCCTGAGATCTAGAGATATAAAAAAACAAAAAGCCAGGCATGGTGGCACACACCAGTAATCCCAGCAGCTAGGAGGCTGGTGCAGGAGGATTATGAGTTCAGAGCCAGCTTGCAAGGCTCTGAGCTACTCAGAAAGACCCTGTCTATAAATAAAATATTAAAAAGGGCTGGGACTGTGGCTCAGTGGTTAAGCACCCCTGAGTTTAATATCTGGTACCAGGAAAAAAAAAAAAAGACTTTGTAAAATGATATGAAATCACATTATAGAAGTGCTAGTACACTGAATAGTAAAATCTGCTTTATCTATTTTGCTTGTTTAATTGGGGTGACTTGGATATTTTATTATTTTGGTGATTTGGATAATATTTTTTTATTTTCTGATACTGATCATTTTAATTTATTTTTCCAATTTTTGCATTTTATTTCACAGTGATCTTACTATTAAATTAGAATTCATAAGTACCAAGTTGTTGCTGTGTTTTCTCATCCAGTGGCACATGTTGAAGAATGCTAAAACAACCTTCATTTTATGAAATAAGCATTTATTGCACAGTGTGTGACAGTCATAATGCTAAATGCTGAGAAAACAGATCCTGTATACATGGAACTTAAAAATTTGGGGTCCATTTTTCAAGAATTAATGAACTTTCTTTATCCTCTTTTCCTAGCCTAATTCTGGTGAACTGGATCCCTTATATGTAGTGGAAGTACTTCTGCGCTGTAGCAAAGAGAGCTTGAAAAATTCAGCTACTGAGGCTGCAAAACCAGCTAAACCTGATGAGAAAGGAGAGATGCAGGTTTGTACTTTCTTAGGCTTCAAATACTTTGTGAATTATTTTTTTATCACTGGAGTTTTAAAATGTGATTATAATGAGCATACTGTCATCATTTCTAAATTAGAAGGTTTAAGGTATTTTGGCATACATAATTAGAGCCTCTAATCATGAGGATGATTAATGAGATTTTATTTATTTATTTTATTAAATTATGACCAGGTAATAGTAATAGAGTAATAGTAATAGTAATAAAGATAAAGAGAAATTAATAATTTAAGTTTCACACAAAGCTGCATTTTATGAGAGCTGTGAATATTTTTCATTATCACTTGTGACTGATTTTACAGTTTGAATCCATTTGTGATGTGTATTTCATTCTTATGGCAATAATGGTTGAAATAGTGTTTCAATAATGAGAAATTTCTTCCCAAGTTTTGTAAGTTAAAATAACTTTTTAAAAATATATTTTTTAGTTTTAGGTGGACACACTATCTTTGTTTTATTTTTATGTGGTGCTGAGGATCGAACCTAGTGCTTCACATTTGCTAGGCGAACACTCTATCACTTGAGCCACAACCCCAGCCCTAGTTAAAATAATTTAATTTACTCATGCTTTTATTAAATTTAAGACATTTGACTCACCACATGAGATGCCTGTATTTCTTGAATGTTTTTTATTTTCATATTGGTATAAATAAAATAATTTTTTGCAAAATATTTTATCATAGATTGCAAGTATCTCCTTGAAATCTAATATCATGGTCAAATTTTGTTGTTTTGAAACGTTGCTTATTAAAGTATGTAGTGTGTTGGCTAAGTCATTTAGGAAATTATATGTTCTAATAAGCTTGGTTTCTAGAAAGTAAAATCTGCAGCTGCAGCATCATAGACTGCTTCTTTGGATTAATAAATCAATTTGGTATTTGGAATTGGCAGTATTTAGTATTTGTGTTTTTATTAATTAATTAAAATTAATCAGTGCCATGATGAATATAAAACACAGGGCCTCATGTGTACTAGGCAAACACTCTACCACTGAGCTGGGAATGTAGCCAGCCCAAGTTGGTAGGCTTTTAAAAAATACTTTATTATTAAACATTTTTAAGTGGTGATTTAGAAGTTTGTTTATATTTCTGAATACTACCCAGCCTTTAATCTCTCTCCTTTTTTTCTTTTCTTTTTTTTTTTCCTGGTGGCACTGGGGTTTGAACAAGGGCTTGCACATGCCAGACAAGTGCTTTACTGCAGAGCTACAGCCCCAGCCTAGCAACATTTAGATATTGTTTTAGTCAGCTTTTTTACTGCTGTGACTAAAGGTTCTGACCAGAAAAATTGTAGAGGAGGAAAAATTTATTTGAGTGCTCACAGTTTTAGAGGTCTTAGTCCATAGAAGGCCAGCTCCATTTCTCAGGACTCAAGATGAGGCTGAATATCATGGAGAAGTGTGTGGTGGAGGGAAGCAGCTCACATCATGGTGATCAAGAAACAGAGAGGGAGTCTACTCTCCAGATACAAATATGTACACCAAAGCCACACTCTAATTTCCACCTCCTCCAGCCACACTGGACCAAGTCAGTTATCATCCCGTTAACCTCTGTCAGAGGATTAATTCACTGATGGAGTTAAGACTATGACAACCAATCATTTTTCCTCTGACTGTCATGCATTTTTTCATGTAAGCTTTTGGGGGACACTTCACATCCATACCCTAACAAAGTTTTTTTAATTTGTTCAATTTTTTTGCAGTGCTGGGGATATAACCCAGGGCCTCATGCATGCTAGGCAAGCACTCTTATCACTGAGCCACATCCCCAGTCCTATTCATTTTTCTTCTAACTTGTTCTCCAGACTTCCATGGACAAAAAAAGTTTGTATAACTTTTCCCCCAAGAATTTATTTTACCTATTTACCATTTAGTTATAAAAGAAACTAAAATCCTACAATTTGGTACACATTCATTATGCCCAAATGTACCTTAGAAGTTACTGCAACTTGAAATAGTAAATACATGGCACTCATCCCACCAGTCTTTCTCCTGATGGATGTTGCTAATAAGTCATAGCGCGCTTTTACACTGAAAGTTTTTCAAGGAAGTGGTCCAGGCAGCCATGACTAATGCATTGGAGGTAGTATTTTAGGTTAAAATTATTTACTGCTTCTCTTTGTTAGGTCCACATTTTTTTTTTTTAAAAGAGAGAGATATAATTTTTTAATATTTATTTTTTAGTTCTTGGTGGACACAACATCTTTGTTTGTATGTGGTGCTGAGGATCGAACCCGGGCCGCACGCATGCCGGGCGAGTGCGCTACCGCTTGAGCCACATCCCCAGCCCCAGGTCCACATTTTTAAGCCTAGGTGCTTTGCCTTTTTTACTTAGTGATATCAGAAACTTTGCAATTCTTAATAATCATGATTCAGTTCTGTTTAATAAATAATCTCTATAGGAAACCCCTTCACTGAACCCTGGACAAATCTTTTCTCTGTACTGTAGCATTTTTTAAAATTCCATTTATTTCAGGGTATGCTTCTAAGGTAATTAATCCAAAAATGTTGACTGATGGTCTGAAAAGAACAAAAAGGATTCCAAAATTTCATAACCTGAATTTGATGATTCCTTATGATTAGATAAACCCATATTTGAATGCCATTCTATAAATTAACTAATGTATTTCCAAGTATTAGGGTCTTGAGAGACATTGAAAAATGGTTTTATATTAAAAGAGAAAAAGGAAGTAGTACAACCAAAGTCAGTGTATGATCCTAGTTTGGATCCATGGAGTGGAAAAGGGAAGTTAGTATAAAAGACATTTTTAGGAAAGTGGATGAAATCTTAACATGAACTATAAATTAGATGATATCATTATGTCAACATTATATTTCCCCTTAATAGTACTTTTCTGTAATTTTGGATTTATATGAAAATGTCAGTACCATAAGAGAACAAAAAAGGTAGAGAACTAAAGAGATATGACAACTAAATGAAATATTTGACCCTTGGTTTGACTTTGGATCTAAAATTGTAGTAGTCATACTAGTAGTAATAAAGTCACCTGGGCCAATTGGGGAAATTTGAATTAGACTATATATTAGGTTATGTTATTTTACTATTAAATTTTTAGGATCTTATAATATGTGGCTATACAGGGTAAAACACTTGTTCATAAAAGATGCATGATCTTGGGGCTGAGGTTGTGGCTTACCAGTAGATTGCTTGCCTATTACGTTTGAGGCCTTGGGTTCAGTCCTCAGCACCACATAAAAATAAATAAATAAATAAATAAATAAATAAATAAAATAAAGGTATTGTGTCCAACTAAAAAATAAATATTAAAAAAAAGATGTATGGTTTTAATTAAAACATGCATGTTGGTGAAATGAAGTGATATTAAGTGCAGCTTATTTTCAAATTATTTTTAAAAGAAGAGGAGGAAAAAAGAAGGCAAGAAGAAATAAATCCCCTTTTACTCAAAACAAAACCCCTAAACTTAATCAGGGAGAGAGAGAGAAAGCATTGTTAGTAGTTGGAAACCTATTAACAGTTTGAAAAATCTAGCTGGGAAATTGTTGAGAAAATGCAATGAGTAATTCATGGAATTGTTCAGTTGTTTTCAAATAGAAAGTTAGCTGATGATGTAGGAAAAACTATTTTTTTAGAAGTTGGGAAATAAGAAAAATGTAAATTAGTAATGAAATTTTTAAAGATTGGGACTTCAAAATAATGCTTTAAAAATGAAAGCTTTAGAAATACTAGTACTACATTCCTCCCTGGCAACAGTAGTTGTTCTCTTTAAACAATGTATGTGTAGTCTCTCCAGTTTCAGTCTCATGTCACTTATTAACATGGAATAAATATAGCCTACCTTTTATTTTTCACATTTGAGTATATGGTCTCTACTATTTTTAACACTGTTATTTACAGATTTGTTGACATTTCATGGAATTTGTTGCACTAAATAATTTATGCTCAGTATTTCATGTACATTGTTTGATTTTTATACTCAAAACAGTTTAATGAAATATAATTTTATCCCTATTTTTATGGTTGAGGAAATTGAAGCATAGAAAAGTTATATAACTTGTTCAGGGTCACACAGCTGAAAGTGAAATTTAAACCCAGACAGTATTTACTTTAGAACCCAGGGACCTTCTAAATTTAAGAGCATTGTAAGAATGCAAAATGATATATTGATGGTAAAGGCATTCTTGGCTGGAAAAAACATGGACATTTGTAGATACATGTTCTTGAAGATTATATCTTAATGAAAATACGCTATTTGCTCTGTTTGAAATATTTTTTTTGTAGTCTTCATTTCAGTCCATCTATAACTTGATCCATCTTACTTGGCCATTTTGACTCTGATTTAATAGGAGTCTTTCTTCTATAGTGAGTCTTTCTTCTACAGTACTTTTTTTGAGTTCAAAAAGTGTCATATACTGAGAACATAAAAATGAGTAAACTATGGATTCTGTATTGATCTTTTATTTGTGTATACCATTTACTTGCCTGTTTAAAGATTTGAAGTAGGTTTTATTTTTTTAATTTTTATTTTATGAACTCAGGGGCACTTAACTGCTGAGCCACATTCCCCTCCCCCTATTTTTAATATTTATTAGAGACAGGGACTCACTGAGTTGCCTCCAGCCTCATTAAGTTGCTGAGGCTGGGTTTGAACTCAAGAACCACCTGCTTTAGCCTCCCAGGTAGCTGTGATTATTGGTGTACACCACCACATTCGGCTAGGTTTTACTTTTTACTTACAATCTACTAAGATATAAGGGGTAGGGAGCTGTTACTACTTATACCTGTGACATACCATAAATATGCCTGCCTTTGATGGATCCAGGTTTAAGAAATGACAGGTTTTGAAAATGTGTAATATTAATTGTGTTTTTATTTATAGGTTGTTCCAGTTTTGGTGCATCTCCTGTCTGCTATTAGCAGTGTCAGGCTTTACATTCCTAAGGACCTTCGGCCAGTGGACAATAGACAAAGTGTTTTAAAATCAATACAGGTATGCATGTTCATTTTATAACAACTAGAAATTTTATATAAATAGAATTCATAAAGAGGCAACTGAAATGCTTTTAAATATAGTCCTTTCAGAAAAGCTATAAAGAGTACCAGTAGTGGCAGTTATTTTCATAAAATGACTACAGCAGATAGATATACATGTAGACTTGTGCTTTCTTTGAATTTGTCAGCAAAGTGCATTACTGTTTTGTACTAAATATGATTTGCTTTGTTCATTAGGAATGAAAATAACTATAAGCTCAGACTGTGTAAAAAAAGTGTTATGTATAAAATCATGTGCCAGGACTTTTAGCCATTTTTTAATATAGTTAATAAATGGGTGAAATAATTTAATTTTCCCCTAGAAAAAGGAAGGTTTCAAAGTTATTTTGTCAATAAACAATTAAGTAGCATTTACTATACATTGAGGGCTCTGTACAGGAATCTGAGAAAACAAAAATAAATAAATGGAATGCTTTTGGGTTAACATAGGAATTTTTAAGCTATGGTTCATAGGGGGATTTCCTGAAATAAATGATTCTTTAGAAAGTTTTATAAAATTTTTATGTATATGTGGATATTGTTCCAATAAAATGTTCTGGAAGACTTTAAAAGTTCCCAAAGAGTTTAAAACTCTCCTAACTAGGCTGATGATAGATAAATGTATTTTACAAGCTCATCAAGTATAATGTCCTGCTGAAATCTTTTTTTCTAATATTTTCAAAACAGTGGTTTAGTTATGAAGAGAAATACACATTAGTCATTATTAAGTTGACATAAATAATGCAGTCATTCTGAAAACATGATTTCTTTGTGCATCTGCATTAGGTCAGTTTTTCTGCTAAATTTAAACTTAAATTGAAATGAATTTTTGTTTGGCAAATTGCATTCTTGTCCTTTTGTCTTATAGATCACTGTGCTTTGTCCACAGAAACACATTTCAGCTTTGACATTATCTTTGTTAGTAACTTCACTTCATCTCTCTCCCCCACCACCCCCTGGTGTTGGGGATTCAACCCAGGGCCTTGTGCAAGCAAGGCAAGTACTCTACCAACTAAGCTATATCCCCAGTCCCTACTTCATCTCATTTTTATCTCATTATTTTTAAAAAGTTAGGCTCTTGTTTTATTTTGCCCCTTTGTAGACATTTATGTTAGTTCCCACATGCTGAGAGCCATAGCCAGTTGGAATGATGCTTGGCATTTTTGCCAGAACAGAGTGGTTGAGAAGTGATGCCAGCCAACCACTGAGATGATAATGGTTATGTTAAGCTGTGTATTCAATTGTATATTAGACCCCTGCTGTCAGCCTTGGCCTGCTACTTTGGAGTTCTGGAGGGGATTCCCGGAGAGTTCCCATTAGTTGGGGAAGTGCTGGAGGAGGGATTTTCCGGAGGATGGATTTCTGGTTGGTGTGGTGTGTCCTGGGAGAAGAGAATAAAGGGGGTGCAGAGAATAAAGGAGTTCCTGTTTTGAACCTACAAGGCTGTGTGGTGGCTCGGTTATTTTGTGCCCAGCCAGACTGCGGCAACCACATATTAGGAAACCAGTGGATGAAAAATCAGGAATATTATCCTGGTAAAAGAACCCTTCTTTTAATGACTACAGAGTTCTCTTTTGCTATTTAATTTTTATACTTTAGAAATAAAATTTTAACATTTTTCTTGTCCTTGAATTTCATGCCTGTACTCTGTTTCTTAATACATAAAAATTACCCAAGTTGATGTATAAGATAGTGATTTTTGTATTAACACTAGCCCCCTTTGAGTAGGGCAGACAACTGGAGACTTCTATGTGCACTTAAAAACCATAATCAATTTCTTAAAATAGTTTTTATTATTGACTGGACATCAGTGTTCAATGTCTTTGAACCTTTTATATATGTTCATTTCTACTCTTATTGGTGCTCCTCCTTATTTTCATTTGTGGTTTTTTTGTTTGTTGTTGTTTGATTTTTTTTTTTGATTGATTGTTTGTTTTTTTGTTTTGCTGTGTTGCCCCGGCCACTCTCAGTCACTCTTAGACTCCTGGGATCATTTGGGCTCAGATGATCCTCATGCCTAGGACTATAGATATTTACACCTAGCTAATGATGATTGTTTTTGTTGTGGTGTTGGCGCCAGGGCCCAGCACATGCTAAGTAGGCACTGACTAGTCAGATTCTGTCTGACCTTTAAGACCTATCCAGAACTTACTTATCTCAGTGAGATACCAGCCTGTGGTGAGTTACCCCTTCCCTAGACTCATATGTTCTTTACTTAATAGTTAGGTAATAAAAAAGTTAGTATTTAAAGGATTCCAGACACTTTAAAAGTTTCTGTTTTCTAATTCAGTAGTGCCCTGTCTAGGAATCAACTCCAAAGAAAATTCTGGAAAATTCAAAACAATTTGCACATAAGAGATGTTAAATACAGAATTATTTTACAACAATCTAATATTGATGATGGCCTTATTAGATCAGTAAGTTGTAACGTATCCTATTCTATTGACCTATGCGATACTAGATTTATTAGAGACTTATAACAATATTTCCCTTTATCAGTAACTCATAGCATAGCAATTAAAAAGGAGTTTCAAAAACCATTGCAATTGGAAAATGCCTTCCAGTTTAACTGAGAAAAAAATATATGTAGCATCCTTTTTTTATGTCTATGTGCATATAGAAAAAAGATAAAAGGAAGTATTGACTTAGTTTACTGTTATTAATTGTCTTTAAGAGAAAATGAATTTTACATATTATATTTTGTTTCAGGAAGTTCAGAAGCGTTTTCCTGATGGTGTTCCTTTATTAGATCCTATTGATGATATGGGCATTCAAGATCAAGGTTTGAAAAAGGTCATTCAGAAAGTAGAGGCTTTTGAGCATCGGATGTATTCTCATCCACTTCACAATGATCCAAATTTGGAAACTGTGTACACACTTTGTGAAAAAAAAGCACAGGTATGGCAGAAACTTCATTTTTATGATAAAATTCTATGTACTTTATTAAGTAAATGTGGTTTTCATTTCCTTGTCCTATTGGTCTGATCAGATAAAGTGGAATTTCTGGCTCGCTTTTAAATTATCAACTTTCAAACCTATCAGCTCTCAATAGCAAATCAAAATAAAGTCATTATAGTATAGTTCTGTGTTTAATGGATGAGGTTTTTTTTTTTTTTTTTTTTTTATACAGCACAATACTCACCCTTTTAAAGTGTCCCAATTCAGTGGGTTTTTGTTTCTTTGTTTTTTACTACATTCACAACACCACTATCTAATTCGGAACATTTTCTTCACCATAAAACAAACACATCCAATAGCAGTCACTCTCCATTTTCTCACCCTTCAAACCCTGGCAACCACAAGTATACTGCCTATTCCAGACATTTCATATAAATTAAATTACATAATATGTGTCCTCTGTGTCTCCTTTTTTCACCTAGCATATTACCTTCAAGGTTCATCTATATTTTAACATGAATTGGTACTTTATTCCTTTTATAGCTAAGTAATATTTCATTGTATGGATATACCATGTTTTGTTCACCCATTCATCAGTTCGTGGACATTTGATTTTTATCCCACCTTGGTTATTTTAAATAATGGTACTATGAACCTCTTGTACAAACTTCTTTGTGAACCTGGGTTTTTTTTATCTCTTTTGAGTGTAATTGAGTAGAATTATGGGATCCTGTGGAAACTAGGTATATTCTTGAGAACCTTCCAAACTTTTCCAAAGTGGCTGCATCATTTTTGTTATCCAGCAATTTATGAGAGTTCCATGTTGTCCACATCTTGATTAAAACTTACTGTTGTCTGTATTTTTTTACTTTAGCCATTCTGATAGTTTGAAGTGGTAATAGATTAGTTTTTTAAGGTAGTTGTAATTTCTACTCAGTAGAAGCATTCTTACAGCCATTACGAATAGTGAAAAAACAATAGAAAAACAATTTTGAAGTAAACACTCTTCTTTCTAATAGTCTCTCCTCTTGAACTATAATGTTTTAATGTGTGCAGATTTACCTTCCCCATTAAAGTGATAATTCCTTTCTCTTATGCTTTTTTGGCTTTTATTACAAACTACTTTTCATCAATACATTTGTCTTTCTTTCTCACAAACTAGATCTTAAGTTTCTTAGGTTCAAATGTTCCATATTTGTAACTCTCCCATAGTGTTATATATTTATTGTAAAGTAGATGCCAAGAGTTTCTGTCCTTTGGCTTAATAGAATAATACATTTAGTTCATAGTTTTAAAACATTCTTTTTCTAGCTTTTTGTGAATTGTGATCTCCTACGTGACTACAAGACACATTTTGCATCTCTTACCCCTAAGAAGCCTTCCAAATCTGGCCCCTCAATTGTCAATATTTTAAGTTCTTACATCTACTGATACAGGTTTCTCACTTAGTGGAATTGAGACTGCAAAATGAGGCAGTAAAAAGGATATTCTTATAGCATTATTTAAAAAAGCAAATGACTGGGACTGGGGTTGTGGCTCAGTGGTAGAGCACTTACCTAGTATGTGTGAGGCATTGGGTTCGATCCTTATCACTACATAAAGAAATAAATAAACAAAATAAAGGTATTGTGTCCATCTACAAGTAAAAAAAAAAAAGAAATTCTTTATTAAAAAAAAAAAACAACAAATGACTTAAATACTTGGGAATTAATCTAACCAAGGAACTAAAAGAGCTCTACAATGAAAATTACAGAACACTGAAGAAAGAGATTAATTTCTTAAAAGATGGAAAAATAGGGCTGGGGCTGTAGCTCAGTGGTAGAGTGCTTGCCTAGCATGTGTGAGTTACTGGGTTTGATTCTCAGGACTGCATATAAATAAAATAAAGATCCGTCAACAACTAAAAAAATTTTTAAATGTTTTTTTAAAAGATGGAAAAATATCCCATTTTTTGGATAGAATTAATATTGTCAAAATGGCCATATTACCAAAAGCAATATGTAGATTCAACACAATCCCCATCAAAATACCAATAGTATTCTTCACAGAATTAGAAAAACAATTGTTAAATTCTTTTGGAAGAATAAGAGAGCCAGAATAGCCAAAGCAATACTAAGCAAGAAAAGCAAAGCAGGAGGCATCACAGTACTTGATCTGAAATTACACTACAGAGCTGTAGTAACAAGAATAGTATGGTATTGGCATCAAAATAGATAGAAGGACCAATGGAACAGAATAGAAGACACAGAGACAAACCTATATGTCTACAGCTGTTGGACATTTGACAAAGGTACCAAAAATATATTTTGCAGAAAAGACAGCCTTCATAACAAATGATGCTGGGAAAACTGGATAGCTGTATGTAGAAAAATGAAACTAGACCCCTATCTCTCATCCTATACAAAACTGAAATCAAAATGAGTCAAAGACTTAGACCAGGAACTTTATAACTACTGGAGGAAAACACAGTCAACACTCCATCATACAGTCTTCCTTAACAAGACACCCCCCACCCACAAAGTGTAAGAAATAAAACCAAGAATCAATGAGATGTCATTAAACTAAAAAGCTTCTGCACAGCAAAAGGAAATGATTAAGAGTGTGAAAAGAGCCTTCAACATGGGAGAAAATCTTAGCCAGCTATTCCTCAGATAGGTGATTAATATCCAGAATATGTCTAGAATTCAAAAAACTTAACACCAAAAAAAAAAAAACAAAAAACTAACCCCATCAACAAATGGGCAAAAGAACTAAACAGAAATTTCTTAATAGAAGAGACAAATGGCCAACAAATATATGAAAAAATGCTCAACATTTCTAACAATCAAAGATATGCAAATCAAAACTACACTAACACTTCCTCTCACTCTAGTCAGAATGGCCGTGATCAAGAATATGAGCAACGATAAATGCTGGTGAGCTTGTGAGGAAAAAGGTAAACTTGTACCTTGTAACCACTCTGGAAAGCAGTATGGACATTCCTCAAAAAACTATACCACATGACCCAGCTATCACACTCCATGATATTTTCCCAAAAGATCTAACATTACATACCACAGCAAATTAGCCACCTTAATGTTTATCAAAGCACAATTCACAGTGGATAAATTATGGAATCAACCCAGGTGCCTGTCAATAGATGAATGGATTAAGAAGTTTTGGTGTAGAAACAATGGTTTCTACTCAGTCATTAAAAAAATGAAATTATGGTATTTGCAAGTATATAGATGGGAATTGAGAATATCATGCTAAGTAAAATAAGCCAAATTCCGAAACTCAAAGGTCTAATATTTTCTCTCATGTGCGGAAGAAAGAAAGGAAAAGAAGCAAAATAAAGGAAAGGGGGAGGGAAGGATAGAATAACATAAAGGGAAGATTAGTAATGCAAAAGGAGATTGAGAGGCAGAGGGGAGGGATGGGTTAGGGGAGGCAATGCGGCAAGAATCCCTTAAAAACCCACACACATACTACAGGAAATTTCACCTTTATGCATAAATAAAAAGAACCAGTCAAATATTAATAAGTAGATAAGCAAAATAAAGAAGGGAAAAGGGGGAGGAGGTTATGAACTAAAATTGAATTTCATGCATATATGAGCTTATTGGGGTGAACCCAACTAGTAGGTATAACTATGAAGCTCTGATTTAAAAAAAAGAAGAAAAGAAAAAGCAATTTAATATAAACAATCTCAGTGTTGATTGGTGGGAAATGCTGATCAATACAATGGAAACCAAGATTCTCATTAAAGAGAAAGTTGGATTTATATGATCTCTTTGGAAAAGAAATCCTAATATTAAATGGGAAAGGAAGCTTATCTCACTCATGTGTCATGGGGGAAAGCTCCTATGCTTATATATCCATGCATTATACAGAGATGTGTATTCTTTTTCCCCCAGGTAGGGTCTCACCATATTTTCACTTTATAATTGAGCTTTCTTTACTTTCTCTGCCTTAGATTGCAATAGATATTAAATCTGCAAAACGAGAACTGAAGAAAGCAAGAACTGTCCTACAAATGGATGAACTCAAATGTCGCAAACGTGTTTTAAGAAGGTTGGGATTTGCTACTTCTTCTGATGTCATAGAGATGAAAGGACGAGTAGCTTGTGAGATAAGCAGGTAAAATATTGTTTTTCTGGAAAGTTGATTTTAAGATAAGATAATATTTTTTAAATGAAAGGTGTTTATCTTTAGCAAAAAGCTGTGTTAAATATAAACGTGTCATAATACCTTTCACATTACATACAGTTTTAGATCACAAAATTAAGATATTAGAAAAAGGTCGAGTCTCAGTAATTAATACACAAACACACACATGCGCACCTCAGCCATTTGATATATTTTATATGAAATAGTTTTTTAGGGGCTGGGTTTGTGGCTCAGTGGTAGAGCGCTCACCTAGCACGTGTGAGGCCCTGGGTGGTATCCTCAGCACCACATAAAAACAAATAAACAAAATAAAGGTATTGTGTACAACTAAAAAATAAAATATTTTTAAAAAAGAAATAGCTTTTTAATGCATAATGTAATTTTTACATAATCTTAGTTTATGCATAATCATGTGTGTGTAGAGAAAGAGAATTTATTTATTTTTATTTTACATATATGAACATTTCTCCATCTAGAAACTAATAGATAACCATTATCTTTTTATGTGTGTTGGAGATTTTACTGAAGTTTTGGGCTAACCATAAGATATTACAATAGCATATTAGAGATCATAGCTTAAAAATGGATATAAGATAGAGTCATCTCTCTGTATTCTCAGGGTTCTGCATTCACGGAGTCATCCAAATGTGAATAGAAAATATTTTAGGGGAAAAAAATGGCATCCATACAGCACACATACAGATTTTTTTTCTGGTCATTATTCCCCAAATAATACAGTATAATAATTATATATTGCATTTATAATATGTATTATAAGCAATCTAGGGATTACTTATATAAGTTTGATCTATTTATTCATATGGTAAAATTCATGTTACTAGAATTATTTTTTTCTGGTATGACCTACTGGCTAACAATAAAAATTTATTAAATCTGTAGCCAGATTTAGTCTTGGAAGAATGTGTATTGATTTTATCTTAAGATACATTTTCTGTTTATAGAACTGATATTATATCAAAGTACATTAATATTTTCTCAAAATTTGCAAAAATTTGGGGTCATTGTATACTCCTTCTGTCTTCCTATATCAAACTCTCTGCCCTTTTAAACATCGTCACCTACTAATGTACATTCATTATTTCTTGCCTAGTTTACTGCACTAGCTCCCTATTTATTCATTGCCTACTTTCTTGAGATTTTTACATCCTTCAGACTGCCTTTACAACATTCTTTCTAAAACACAAATTCTTGCATATCATTCATTGGTAAACGTTTTTTTGTGATTCTCTATTGCTTTTTAAGCATAAATACTAACCTTGTATATTCTTGCTCTTCCTTCTTCAGCCTATTTGTTGACACATTCTTCAAATACTGTTGCTTTGGTTGACATGACTTTTTCTTTATCATTACCTTCCATCCTGCTAATTCCTTAGTCTTTTTTTCCAAGATCTCTTACAATTTGCTGTGGGCCTCTCCAGTATGACTTTAGGCTCCTCAACTTTTTATACATAACCACCTGTATGAACTTCTTTAGAGCACTCTGTTAGACCACTGTTCTGTGATGTTTGGTTTACTTGTTGGCCTCCCACGTTAGACTGTGGTTATTGGAAATAGTCTTGTCTTGTTGGTATTGTCCTCTTTTGACTTAACTCTCGATTTACCTTAGTGGATCCAAATTTAGTTTTTTTACTTTTATTTTTGAAGTTACATTTGTAAAGATTAATAGTTTGTAGCCATATGCTTTTTTATTTTTAGTTGTAGATGGACACAACACCTTTATTTTATTTATTTATTTTTACATGGTGCTGAGTATCAAACCCAGAGCCTCATACGAGTGAGGCAAGCACTCTGCCACTGAACCACAACCCCAGCTCTAGCTGTATACTTTTTTAGTATGAAGAAAAATTTATACGGTAAGCAACAGTTTGTTTTATTCAAAGGCTGTTGCCCATCTTGAGTGTAGACACTAGAAAAATAAGGTGTGAAATGTGGGCTTGGTGGGCATAAATTGTGATTTCTAACAAAGTTCTTTTTCATATCTTGATGTAGGTTCTCACTAAGTTGCTGAAATTGGCTTTGAACTCATGATCCTCTTTCCTTAAGTCTTCTTAGTCGCTGGGATTACAGGCGTGCACCACCATTCCCAGCAAAATAATACATTTTATTAAAACAGCATGCTGAAGGTATATATAGTCAACATTTGTTTTATATGCTGACATTTGATATTTATTCTTTTTTCTTTTTCCTTTGACAGTGCTGATGAGCTGCTTCTAACTGAGATGATGTTTAATGGACTTTTCAATGACCTTTCTGCAGAACAAGCAACAGCGTTATTAAGCTGCTTTGTGTTTCAAGAGAATGTGAGTAAATAGATTTAGCATATTTGATTTACTAATTCACACGTGCTGTGGTTTAGGTTAAATTAGTGTAATAGATGGTTCTTTTTTTGTGGTCTCGGTCAAAGCACATTTAACACAAATATAGTAGGAAAGAATTGAATAATTAAGTGTGTACATTATTAGAAGAGTAAGATTTTATCTGTGGACAGTTCATCACTAATCAGATTCCAAGTTTTTTATTTGCTTTTATAACCCAGTTTATTACTCAGTTCTAGAAAGAAAAAGATAAGTGGAAATAAAATTTAGGAATATCTAATAAAAATGAAGATAGATAATAAGGTTGAATTAAACACATCCCACTATGAGAGATAACTGCGAAGCAATTAATCCTGTGAGAAACTGAAGTCTCAGTTTTCATGGGCAAGGTTTAAGGCAGTGATGATAAAATCCTTGTTGGTTTAATATGAGTAATTAGTAATTAATTTTTAATATGAGTAATTAGTTCATTTTTAAGAACTCCTAAAAATACAGAAATGGCCATAATTCAGTGGTTGAGTGCTTGTCTTAATATGCACACGACCCTAGGTTTGATCCTCAGTGCCACAAGAAGACATTTGGAATAAAGTGCCGAATGGAGCACACAGAAGTACTAATTACCCTTGTACTGTTTTCCCCAAACCAGGATGGTTTGCTTTTAAAAGTAAAATATATTCTAGAGATTAGTGCTCTATCTGATGTGTGTGTGGTAAGAATTTGTTCCCAATTAGTAGGCTCCCTATTTACCTCACTATGAATTATGATGCATTCTTGTTGTCATATATAACAAATTAAAATTTTTTTAAAAAGTAAAAAAATATTGTTTTACTGTTCAAGTTTAAGGTATAATTCATTGTAGAGAATTAAGACAAGGACTTAAACCTTGTAAAAATTTAATCTTGTTTTCTAAATTTTTAGAGGATGTTTTACTGTATTCCATAGTTTGATTTTTAATTAAATTGTATAAGACAAAGTGTTTTTTTTCAGTTCTGCTATTGATCTGTTTACCTATTAATGATTTTCCTTTTTTGTAACATGCCACAATTTTTATTGCAGTGTGGCCATTTTTGTGAAGGTGGAGAGTTTGATCTTAAAGCAATGTTTCATTTAAGGCTTTTTTTTATACAGAAATTGCCATCATGACTGACATTTGAAGTCTCTTTAATGTTGCAACACTCATGATAAACATAAAACTATACTTATTCAGTAGTGTACACTCAGTGGAAAACAAAAAGGCATTAATAACAGGTATTTCTTTTAAGAAGATATGCAGATAACAGGAATGAGCACTGAAGCACTAGCATAAATTGATGACATAGTTAGCAAAACAATCGGCATTTCTTTTGAGAGATTGAACTCATTTTTTATAAAGTGTTTTTCATGCATAGTGTAATATGCGTACTGCCATGTCTCAAAAAAAGACTAAGGCAGGTGAGGTGCATGAATGCTCCAGTGCCTCACAGAACTACTGTCAAGTGCAACAAAAATAATACTGAAAAAATTTCACCATCTGACCAGTACAGGGTTATTTCAAGGCATTCAGTGCACTGCAAGAGGGGCATATAACCAGTTGTTTGGGGAAAAATAAGATAGGAAGGAATCCTTGGGTTCTCCATAAAAATACCATATTAGAGAATAGAATGGCAACACTTAATAGGAGGCTTAAATGAATCATACCTCCTTCATTCATTATGTTGGAAAGGCCAGGTGGGAAGGGAAAACAAAACAAAAGAAAACAAAAAACCACCTAATGCTTTTCCAGTGGACTGGGCTGGAAAAGTGAAACCCTCTTGTGATCCAGAAGGCACATGTCAGTCATTTTACAATGGTTTTCCTTCATGTGAAACTGTTGAACTATCTCCCAGTTTCTCTGTAAGTATCGAACGGTCCTTAATATCATCCAAGCCATTTATTTGCCACTTGTTTAATACCTGTAAATTTCTTTTTAATGGTATCTTTAGAGCAGCTAAAGATAGAGCAATTTCTGTGGTGTCTCTGTCAGCCTTACTCCAGGCACCACAGATACAGCAGAAAGTTTTACTTTCATGAATCTTAGATGCAAAGTTAGTGAAGATATATAAAATACAAACATATTCTCTCAAGTAGTGATGAAAATTGGGAGAAAAGTAAAAGGGTTGGATAGAGATCCCTGGGTATTGGGGTTACTACTATTTTAAATAAGATTATTAGAAAAGGTTTTCCCAGTAAACTGTAATTTGAATTGAGATCTGCAGGAGAGATGAAGGGGCATATTGTGTTCTTATCTGGTAGGACAGCATTAGTAAAATTGTACTTGTTCCTCTTATATCAAGACCAGTACTTTGTACCTATAGTGGCTAGAAAAAAAGGAAGGTGATTAGTTGCTGTTGCCCATGAATGGACATAATGTCAAAGACATTTAATGGTCTTATATTATTTACTAAACTGAGATGTTGAGTTCATACTGGCTCTTTTGCTTTTTCCTCATTCATCAATAAACTTTGGTTTTAACAGGAACAATATAGAGTTTAGTTCATGCTTTATTACATAATATGCACATGTGCATGATACAAATCAAAACTAAGTCATTTGTAACTACTGATGCTTAAAATGTAGGGAGGTGCATTTCAACTAATCTGTAATTGCTTTTTTAAAAAATCACTTGTAATTACTTTAAATTCTGTCCTACACATACCATTCTTCCTCCTCCTCGATTGTGATTTCCCACCCCTATTACCTCCCCCCTTCGGTCCCCTTCCTCGACTTCACTGCTCTCCCCTCTATTTTCATGAGACCACCACCCTCTCCCATCATATCTTTTAGTCCTTATTTCTCTCTAAGTTTCTGTATATAAGAGAAAACATTTAACCCTTAATTTTCTGTGTCTGGCTTATTTCACTTAGCATGGTATTCTCCAGTTCCATTCATTTACCAGAATGACAGAATTTCATTCTTTATATCTGAGTAAAACTTCATTGTGTTTATATACTTTTCATTTGTTGACACACAACCTTGGCTAGTTCCGTAACTTGGCTATTGTGAATTGCACTGCTATAAACATTAGTAACATTTATACCATTCTTACAATAATTTTGTTGTGTATTAACTCTACCTTTGTCAAAATTTCTTTATTAATAATATTTTATTTTTATCACAAGCCTGTCAGTTTTGAGAATCCGGCTTTATTATTTCTAACAGGGCAAGAGTTCAACATTCAGAATTCAAGGAACTTGTCCAAGTGTATTTAGCTACTTAGTGATGGACATGAAACTTTATTATAATCTAAGTGAAAAATTGATACACTTTATAGTGGGAAAGCAGTAGTAAGAATACTAAAAGGGTTGGGGTTATAGATCAGTGGTAGAGCACTTGCCTAGCAGGTGTGAGACACTGGATTCAGTTCTCAGATTGCAAATTAATTAATTAATTAATTAAGGTCTATCAACAACTAAAAAAATATTTTAAAAAATACTAAAAATCAGATTGAACTTTGTTATGCTTGTTAAAGAGCTGGAAATATCTGGGTAAAATAAAAATTAAGGGCAATATTTTTAATGTCCTTTATCCATCTCAAATTTCCAGTTCCTATAGAGTTCTTACGAGTTTCCTGTGATTAAACCGTTTATGGTGTTGATGCAACTAAACTGTATGTTTGCAATATTTGCTGTCTTTCTTGGTTCCATTTGTAATGATAAAAATTAAGTACACTTAGCTGTGTAATATTTTCCTCTGAAATATTGAGAATGAAAAGTTATATTGCTTGTAAAGTTGATTTGAAATGCAAAATGCTAATGACTCTAAAAGTCATTATAATTTGATAATAATGGATAACACAAAAGCTTTGTTTGATTTTTAAAAACAGGTGATATGCACTGCACTCTAAACTTATATTTTTAAACTTTTTTTTCCATAGTCCAGTGAGATGCCCAAATTGACAGAACAGTTAGCAGGTCCACTTCGACAAATGCAGGTAAGATAGTATATTGTAAAATAAATGTTGTGATAGTGTAATCCTAGTACTTTATTATTCCACAGAGACAACTGTAGTTGGGATTAAATATATCATTTGATGTTAGTCATGTCATTTAATGCTGTTTTATTAACATTTTTATTATTTTCATTTTAGTAATTAAACATTCTCATTACAATGAATTGTATATAGTCTCTGAATGCAGATTTAAAACTGAATAGTGTGGATAGGATATTGACAATTCATTGCTTACATCATTTTCTTCTTTAGTGGGAAAAATGGCATTGCATACATTTAGTATACTTTTGGCACATTTTTCCATTCTAGTTAATAACAACATTTTAAAATCTGCTTTATCATTAGTTATTTATCACTAAATACTCAAAGCCTCAGTATCTTATAGAAATAAATCTGTGTCTTTTTTTATTTCCTGAAAATGAACTATTTTTTTATCTGCCTTTTAAGTTAAATAAATCATAAAAAATAGCTCTCAGTGGAACATTCAGTATCTCTTAATGTTACTAAGAAATGAGAAAATAAAATGTTAAGATATATATACTTTTAAGTATTGCTGGGGAAATATATACTTTTCCATAGGATTTGTTTTCTTCTAAATGCTTTGTTATTGTTTTGGTTTTATTAATGGAACAATTAGAGATTTTTAATTTTTTTTTAGTTTCATTTTCATTTTTCAATTTTTTTATTTTTATGTGGTGCTGAGGATCAATCCAGTACCTCACGAGCACTCTACCACTGGGCTACAACCCCAGCCCAATTAGAAATTATTTAAATGGTACTTTCTGAATAATTTTAATATAGAGTTCTCAGGTTTTGTAGAAAAGAAACAACTGGCTGAAAATCATGTTCTTGGTATATTTCTTAGCCACTTCAACATGAAGAAAAAAGCTTAACTGTTTAATCACTTAGCATTGTGCATCCTTAGAAATAAGACTATCCAAATTGCAGAATAACATCTAAAGTATAGGGAACTTTGTGTAATACTGACTTTGGAATCCTAAAGAAAAAAGTGATGTAGGAGATCATGAGTAAGGAATTTTAGCTATGTCTTTTATTTTTAAAGGAATGTGCTAAAAGAATTGCAAAAGTTTCAGCAGAAGCAAAATTGGAAATTGATGAGGAAACTTACCTAAGCTCATTCAAACCTCACCTAATGGATGTGGTATATACCTGGGCAACTGGAGCTACCTTTGCCCACATCTGCAAAATGACAGATGTCTTTGAAGGTATGGTTAAATTTTGTGTACACGTACATATTCCCAGTATAAGAAATATACTCAAGATAGTCTTGTTTTAATTAAACGTGAATAATATATATTTTTTTTAAATTTTGGTAGTAAAATGGAATCTTCTGCCTATGTTGGTTAAAAAAAATATTTTCTACAGACCTTTTGTATTATTCAATAAGCACAGTCTGCTTCTACTAAATTACTTAGGAAACTATTTTAACAGAACATAACTCTGTGCCTAAGTGTGTGCATTCATAAATAGATGATCTTAGTAAGTTATATATATGTGTATATTTTTGCAGTTTGCTTTTGTTCTCTTGGTAAGAACTTAATGGTTTGCTATAAGATTTCATGAAAAATAGCAGAGCTGAAATGATTAATCATTGCATGTGTAATAACAAACATGGCTTCATTCAGACTATTATTACAGAATGAAGCAAATTAAAATTAATGAGCAGAATTTTAAGAAACCGAAGAATAACTGTTATCTACCTGTCATATAATAATTACATTTTGTCATATAATAAAATTACATTTTGATATACCCAATATTATATGACTTCCAGCTGATAATATTATGGAAATAATACATTATTGATTTTAGGAGTCAGTAATTTGTATGATGAGGTTAAATTTCTCTGCCACAGAATTTTTTTTATTAATTTTTTAAAAATAAATGATAGCAGAATACATTACAATTCATATGACACATATAGAGCACAACTTTTCATACCTCTGGTTGTATATAAAGTATGTTCACACCAATTCATGTCTTTGTACATGTACTTTGGATAATGATGTCCATCACATTCTACCATCATTGCTAACCCCCTGCCCCCTCCCTTCCCCGTCCTATCTAGAGTTTGTCAGTTCCTCCTCTGTTCCCCCTCCTTACCCCATTATGAGTCATTCACCTTATATCAGAGAAAACATTGAACATTTGTTTTGTTGGAATTGGCTAACTTCACTTGGCATTATCTTCTCCAACTCCATCCATTTACCTGCAAATGCCATGATTTTATTCTCTGAGTAATATTCCATTGTATATATATGCCACATGTTTTTATCCATTCATCTACTGAAGGGCATCTAGTTTTGCTATTGTGAATTGTGCTGCTATAAACATTGATGTGGCTGTGTCTCTGTAGTATGCTGTTTTTAAATCCTTTGGGTATAGACCAAGGAGAAGAACAGCTGGGTCAAATGGTGGTTTTTCATTCCCAGTTTTCCAAGGAATCTCCATACTACTTTCCATATTGGCTGTACCAATTTGTAGTCCCACCAGCAGTATACCTTTTCCCTCACATCCTTGCCAACACTTATTGTTATTTGTCTTCATAATTGCTGCCATTCTGACAGGAGTGAGAAGAGTAGTTTTGATTTGCATTTCTCTAATTGCTAGAGATGATGAACCTATATATTTGTTGATTAATTGTATATCTTCTTCTGAGAAGTGTCTGTTCAGGTCCTTGGCCCCTTTATTGACTGGGTTTTTATTTTTTTGGTGTTTAGCTTTTTGATGTGTGAAGGGTAAAAAATTGCTCACAAGATGTAGGTTCTCTATTCACCTCACAGATTGTTTCTTTTGCTGAGAGGAAACTTTTTAGTTTGAATTCATCCCATTTATTGATTCTTGCTTTTAATTCTTTTTTCTTGTTTTAATTGTTGATAGACTTATTTTATTTATTTATACGTGGTGCTGAGAATCGAACCCAGTGCCTCACACATGCCAGTCAAGTGTCTATGATTTAATTCCTAGGTCTTTGATCCACTTTGAGTTGAGTTTTGTGTATGGTGAGAGATAGGGCTTAATTTCATTTTGTTGCATATGTTTTTCTGGTTTGCCCAGCACCATTTATTGAAGAGGCTGTCTTTTCTCCAATGTATGTTTTTGGCACCTTTGTCTAATATAAGATAATTGTAATTTTGTGGGTTAGACTCTGTCCTCTGTTCTGTACCATTGGTCTACCAGTCTTATTTGGTGCCAATACCATGCTGTTTTTGTTATTATTGCTCTATAGTATAGTTTAAGGTCTAATACAGTGATGCCACCTGCTTCACTCTTCCTCCTAAGGATTGCTTTAGCTATTCTGGGTCTCTTATTTTTCCAGATGAATTTCATGATTGCTTTTTCTATTTCTATGAGGAATGCCATTGGAATTTTGATCAGAATTGCATTAAATATGTATAGTGCTTTTGGTAATATGATCATTTTGATAATATTAACTCTGCTTGTCCAAGAGCAAGGGTAGATCTTTTCATCTTCTAAGGTCTTCTTTGATTTCTTTAGGGTTCTGTAGTTTTCATTGTATAGATCTTTTACCTCTTTCTTGACTTGATTGCCAAATGTGGTTTTTTTTTTTTGTTTGTTTTTGTTTTTGAGATTATTGCAAATGGGATAGTTTTCCTCATTTCCCTTTCAGAGCGTCTGCCATAGAATATAAAAGTTCTAAATTAAGATCGTTTATTATATTGATCTTTATGGGTTTTAAAGTTTTGTTTTTGATTTTCAGGGTTTTTTTTCCCCCCTTCTTTTTTTTAAAGTTATAGATGGACATAATACCTTTATCTATCTACCTACCTATCTATTTATTTATTTATTCATTTTTATGTGGTACTGAGATTGAACCCAGAGCCTCACACATGCTAGGCATGTGCTCTACCTTTGAGCTGTAGCCCCAGCCCAGTTTTAAGGTTTTTAATGTCATAGTTTATACATCGTACATTGTTTTTTAATTAATTTAATGTGGTGTCTTAGAACTTTCCCTAAAGATAATAAATTTCTAAACCATCAATTAGTGAAAGGCCCCAGATACTCTGCTGAGCATTTTGTTACTGAGGTCACAGTTAAGTAACTCATCATGCTAAGAGTTTTGTAATATTTGCATCTAATCACTAAAATAGCATTTCATTGTAAATAGTATCATCTCCATTTTGCTTAAGGAATTCAAGGTAAATAATCTTGCTAGTGTCATCATACCATAATTTGACCTCTGTGACTACAAGTTGATAACTTTGTTTAATCACTGTAACAACTTATTATTAAACTTTGAACACCTGAAGACTCCTTAAACCCTACCCTAGAATATACCATCTTCATCCACAAAAAATTCATGCTTTTAGGAATGGTAAGAAAGTTCATAATAGTTCATGGTAGGTAGCAACAGTTGAGTCTGAGAAAAGTTAGGTGTGACATACCTTAGTTGGGAACATTGCTTAACACACAGGAACTTAGGTCAGTGATGGCAGTTTTTGTGTTTCAGAGATATCAAGGTAATGAAATACAGCAGTTCTACTCTTCATTTAGCCAACGTTTTGAAAAATACAGATGAAATTCTGTGCCTCAATAAATACCTGCTTCTCAAGTAAAGTCAAAACACTGACACAAAACAATAGTGAAACATAGCAGAGATTAGTTTTTTTAAAAAAATAAAAATCAAAGGGTTAAAAACCCTAAGACTAACTAATAACATTTAGTTATTTCTATAAATTTTTTTGTGGATTATTTTTCTGTCCTTTTCTATGCTTAAATGGAAATGTTATCGCAATATAGATGATAAATCCTGAAGCTGTATAGTTCTGCCCAAGTACCTGTTGCCTCTGTGAATTGATCTTTTTCACAGCATACTGCCTCTTTTGAATTTGGGTGGGAGTCATTTCTAGATTATAATTTGCTCCAAATCTAAGTTTGAAGAATTTGAGAAATTCAGTTTTCTAATTATAACTTGAAGTCAGGTCTAACATCAGCATGATTTTCATGTTTTTCTGGTCTAAATGCCATTAGCTAAATCTTTTCTTTCTAAAGTTGGGACAGACTATATATATTAACTCTTAAAAGCAACATGATTAGCCAGGTGCAGGGTGGGGTAGGGGTGCACGCCCATAATCCCATTGGCTTGGCAGACTGAGTTAGAGTTCAAAGTTCACCTCAGCAACTGCAAGGTGTGAAGCAACTCAGTGAGACACTGTCTCTGAATAAAATACAAATTGGCGATGGGGATGTGACTCCATAGTTGAGTGTCCCCGAGTTCCATCCCCAGTACCAAAAAACAAAACATGATTAAACAAACAAAAAACCTTGAGAACCTTGATTTACTTAGAATAATAGTTTCTTTTTCCATCATAGTGTTTCTCTCTTCTTAATTTTTATCATGTTATTTAGTTCTTCTATTTCAAAATAAGCATTCTCTCATCTTTTTAATTTATTTATTTATTTTTGAGAGAGAGAGAGAATTTTAATATTTATTTTTTAGTTTTTTTCAGCGGACACAACATCGTTGTTTGTATGTGGTGCTGAGGATCGAACCCCAGCCGCTCACGCATGCCAGATGAGCACGCTACCGCTTGAGCCATATCCCCAGCCCACATTCTCTCATCTTGTTATTTTACATTTTTATATGATGGGGAGAATATTATAATCAAAGCTCTAGCTCATAGTGTAGTGTGTCTTTCTTTTTAATGTCATAAAATAGTTGCATTGGAATTTTTTAATGTGCTATGTTCAAAACATATTTGTTCCTGATAAGATTCTTAATTTTTTTTTTACATAAAATTGCCTGATTTATACTCTGAGCCTCGGAAGTAGTTACACATATTCTTCAACCATTAACTGGGGCTAGTTAACACTGTAATGATTAAGAACATGTGTTTTGAAATGTCTGATGCTAGCGAACCATTTATAATGGTATTCAGTTCAGGAATTTTGAAGACTATATTTAAAACTACTCTGTCCCCCTAAGAAAGGATAGAACATAATTGTTTCTTATTTTTATTAGCTGAATTTAAACATAATATTTTTGTGGGCTGATGCCTAGGGTTTCAATCTTGCCAACCTTGTAGTGGATCTAAAACACCAGCTATTACTACTTCCTGACTATGCATAAACAATATTATATTTTTAATTGTGCATGAAGGATGAAAAAAGAAGTTGCTTTGCGTGGAGCATTCATCATTAGGAAAGCTTCTGTGATGAGTTATCTCTTGAAATTATTCACTCT